CCCCCTCTGTCAATTTCACCTCCTTTTCCCTCCTTCCTGCCCCTTCCTCTCGTCTTTAGGCGTGTGGTTCTGGGTCACCCTGCCCCAGTGAGACAGCAGAGCCCAGCCCAGAACAGGCCAGTCCAGAGGCTGGGAGCTAGATGGCAGCAGGGCAGGGTAGGTATGACTCCCCCCTCTTCAGCCTTCGCTTTCACTCCTCCCTCCTTCATTTCTCTGCACGTATCTGTTCTTCTTTTTGCCTGTCATCTTTTTACTCCTGTGTTGTATTTCTTGGTCTTTTTGTTTTTGTTTACCTCAGTTGTTGTGTGATTGTTCTTTTTATGACGCATCCTAATTCACTGTGGGTTTTTCTATTTGCAGTGTCTTTCATACCCATTGAACTATTTTACATGTTGGGACAGCTGCAAACTATAATTGTTTTTTTTCTTTTCTTTTCTTTATAACCAACATAGAGTAGAGGACGATTCTGAAGGAAAAGGATGCAAAGACTTTTTTATTTATCTGCATTTGTGTTCATTTCCTTTACTCCAATAAAGTCCAGCACACTCACATATTCTTTCACAGAGGTTTTCTAAAATATTTCAAAGTAATATAAGTCTGGAAGGCTGGAATATCAAGAGACAATCCTAATGGACATGCTACTGACTGACGCTTGCAAAGCAGCCAATCCAGGAGAAGCATTCGTTTTCCTTGGTGCCGATTGGCTGTTCCCCCAAAGGTGGAGATAAGGGGGGGACTGTGGATGTCAACTTTTGTTTTTGCAACATTAAAAATAGCAATGAAGCAGCCCATGACCTGTGGTCCCAAAACCAGTTTGCTAATCTCAAATTAGCAGTCTTATGGTTCTTGTCTGTTTTATAAAAAATGTCTGCAGAGGAAGAAATCATCAGAGCTCCTGTACAGTGGAAACAATTCTCACTTATTTATAGGAATTACAGCAAATATTTTAAAATTGAACACATCACACGGACGAGTCACTTTCTGTAGACTTTTTAACGTGACAGAAATTAGCCTGGTCATCTGTGGAACCAAAGACAGTGACAATCTGCAGCGCCGCCATTTGGCTGGAGGGTAAAATGCTGCAGAAACACAAAATCGTAACAAGTGTTTTTGTTTAGCACATATCTTAGCACATTTGAACTAACTTACAAGTAGCTTTTCTGCAAGATATAGGAGCTTGTTTTCAGTCAGTAATTCCTTAATATTTATTTTAAAAAGTGCTGGTTACTTATAAGATATTTATCCCATGTTGTTATCAGTAAAATAATCGGCCAGTGGAACTAGTACTTTTTTAAAGGAATAATTTGCTTAAATTAAGCTTGAACATTTTGCTGAAAACTAAGCTAGTTACTTTTTTCAAGTGTACTAAAGATATTTGCACTAACAGCTAGACCAACATCTTACTATAAAACTTGGTAAGATTTTGTGGCTTTGCAGTGAATCGCTGAGCTTTGTTACCACAACAAAACAGCATTATGTCCAATACTACATGTGGTAGTACAACAAGATGATTTCCACTGTGAATACTAATGAATATTAAAGTATATTTGGTGGTTGAACTTTTTACAAAAGGCATTTTTAGAAGAAGTCTCAAATATTCGCAAATTGTAGCTATTCACAGCATCTGTGGTCCCTGCACCAGTCGGTGTAAATGGTTATCACTTTCATTCTACGACAAAATGTTGTTTTAATTTGTGTTGTGTCTGCTGCAAAAATTACATTGCACTGGTTGTACTGAGATCAAATGTGATGAAGTTCGAGGTTAATGGAGGCTCTGTAAGACCAGAGTTACTCCATATGTGGCATTTGATGCAAACTGTAAAGACCTTTTGTGCGTCGACGCTTTCGCCGTTGTGCTCTTACTGTGTCCTGCATTCACACCCAGATCCGTAAATAGCGCACATCTCCGTGGGACAGTCAGCGTGACAGCTAATCAGAAACTGTGCACTTGGATGAGCATCTCATCTGCTGGGATTTCAGCACAATATGTTAATCTTGGATTCTTTGCTCAGTGAAACCGTGATCCATGCTGACATGCTATGAATTATATATGTAATCTAACAGGTCATACGCTCGCCGCCGCTAAAAGTGACGAAACTCGTATAGACAAGCTAAAATAATCCTCCATCGGCTGGAAATTTCAGCCAGGAACATGTGGAGGTGCAGTATGCTTATTTAATAAGTCACAGAGAGAGAGAGACCCATACACACTCCAAAGAGGAGAGCCATTTTGATCCCCTGCCTCCCCGCCCGGCGTCCTCACCCACACGGTTCTCAACAGCGGCTCCTTAATGATAGCTGCTGGCACTCACACTGGGAAAAAAAAATCGAATGGTTTTGTTTTCATCAGCTAATACTTGGGTGCCAAGATTAATGACTAGCCCCATATAATTGGCATTAATTAAAGCAGAAGAAGCCCTGAAGTGCCTTCTGATTCCAGAAGAGGAGGTGGAGGAGGTGGAGGGCTGGCTGAGCAGCAAGTCTCCCCCTTCCCCTTTCGTTTTCTTTTTTTTTCTTTTGGACCCTGGTTCTGCAGGGCAGCAGGTGGATGTGGGGTCCCGAGTGTTGAATCTGGCTGAAATTGGAAGCCTCCTCCTTCTGCGGGAGGCGGACCGTGTCTGGTCCAGCGCCGCCACCGCTCCCATCTGGTGTTTACTTGCTCAATCACATCGACTTCAGACATCTTCCCAAACACACACCTGTCTGATGGGCTCGGCCCGCTCCCCGGACGAACACACCTGTGATCGATGCTTTCGCCACCTGCGCTCGAATCGGAGCCAAAAGCCGAGCCCCTCCAAGGCTGGTGGGAGCGTTAAGTGTTTTTTTATATTTTTTCTTTCTCTCGGGTCATCTCACCATGTCCGGCGTACGCTCTCTGGTGTCTACTGTGAAATGACCAGTTTCCACAGTTCGCTGATGAAATCTCTCGCACACACACACACACACACACACACGCACACACACACACACACACACACACACAAAGGTAGATCAAACCCTTCGGCCTCCAGGTTGGGCCACATCAGCACATCACTCATATCTCCACCGAGCCTCCATCATCCCTCCCTCCATCCCCGCTCTGTCTTGGCCCGGGATGAAGTGGCCTCGCCTGGCAGCGCCGGGCAGACACGAGGCGACGCTGCAGGGGCGGTGTGGCGGTGCTGCGTTGGCTGGTGGTGAAGTGTGTACTTGCTGTCACTGCTCGTCTCAGCCCCTCTGTCACTTCTCTCAGGGCTGCAGGCAGCTACTTTCTGCTGACTGCTTGGCCTTGGCCACTGCCACATTTACAGCCCACAGCTGAGGTTGATGGCCCAGCCTCAGACCCAGCTGCTGTGAGAGAGTCATGAGACGGTTTTGTTGGACTTTCTTAGTTTTCTTAACTTCCATTCTCATACTTTTGATGTGCAATTTTCTATTATCAACCTGCAATCATATGCGATCCCTTTAAAGTCCAGATCTAAGTCCAGTTGAGAATCTGTGGCACATTAAAACACAGAGGAAGGTGGTTCTAGAAAAGCATCGGGTCTGCAATCTGAGGCTCTGGACCAGCAAGTGGCCCTTTGGACCTTACGCAATGGCTCTTCATAACTTTGGCTAAGAATGACAGAGAACCAACTCGTGTTTTCAATTATAGATGTGCGGGTTTAAACAGTGTTTTTCATAGAATTATTGCCTTGCATATTCACAGAATGAGACTAAACGTGCCAGTCTTTCTGGTCATTTGGTTGAAAGGATTTTTCTTTAATAAGCATAATCTTTCCATAAACATCAAGAAGCATAGAAAACGTGTCAAACTTGGGGTCTGCTGGCCACATCCGGTCCACCATGGCCATTTCTGTGGCCCTCTGGGCCTCAGAGGACCAAAGAAATCTAACTTGGTGGTTTAAAAATAAAAAATTTTCTGCAGTACGTGTGTATTAAAAATGATGTATTTCACGGCAGGGTTTTTTTCATCAAAAGATCAACTAACTTTTGTGGCTCTAAAAGTGCACCGAGAGCAAATACGGCTACTTGGAAGGTAAAGGTTGCACCACCCTGGGGTTATGGAGGGTTGAACATAAGTATCCCAATTTGTATCAGTTCCTTCTACCTCACAGTTTGTTTTGAGAGTTTTATCTGAAATAATACATTAATATGTTGAGTTTCTAACATGACCAAGCAGGAAATAGTAGCTACCATTCAGTATGAGCAGCTGCTGCCTCCTCAGAGGTTTGACTCCAACCTCTAAATCCTCTGCTTCTCTTTGAGAGGGAGAGCTTCGATATAGTAGGCCGGCTCCAGATCAAGCTGCCAGTATGGCGGACTAAATTATGACGAACTGAATTATGTGTGCGGTAATAACCGCCCAGTTGTGAGCGGCGTGCAGCGGGGCTCGGTGCTCCGGCTGCGGGGTCTTCCAACCTGCCCAGTCGGAGGGAAACTCAGACGTGACGACTCGTAGCCGGTCCTTCAAAGTCTCCGGTTTATACGTCTGATTCATGCTGGTCCTGCAGGTGAGCCCGAGGTGGGAGGGAACACACATGTCAGCGCACGGCGACACACAGAAACAATAACCAATGTTCAATAAAAAAAAAAAGTGGGCGAAGGAAGAACTGACTGAAGTCTGGGCTTTAGGGCAGTGCGCTACTGACACCTGGTGGCGGAGTCGGGTACGACCGCCACAGCTCTGGGTTGCACCTGTCACGGCTTATGGGTTTATGATGTTTGCGGCTGTGCAAAGAAAAACGTGTCTGACTTTCTGTTTTCTCCCTATCTCATCAGCAGAAGGGGAAGGACCCTCTCTACGCCCAGATCAACAAGGGGAAGAAATAAAGAGATACCCAGGAAGACAGACCTGACCAGCACTGAGTGAACAGGAGGAGAACCCTTTACCTCTGAGTGTGCGTGCGTGTGTGTTTGCGGGTGCGTGCATGTCTGGCACATCCCTGCCTGGCCAAGCCCTTCATCTTCTTTTCCTGCTAACAACCTCCCAGGAGGTGCTTCAACACTCCCACACGCCTCCTCCTCCTCCTCCTCCTCTCTGCAGTCGTTCCTCCTCCTCAGAGGAGCGAGCCCTCTCAGTCATTCTCCACAGGCAGGAGGGACATCCATCACCCAGACAGGCCCAGCTCTCCCTCCGCCACGCTGTCTTCTCCGCTCCTCTCTCCTCTCCCCTTTGGCGACTCACACCCAGCCTTACGGACATGAGCCACTCCTCTCCCTCCTTTCTTTCCCTCCCTCCGTCACTTTCACACCCTTTCCTCTGCCTATCACATCTGACCAGAGACTCTGCTGCCTGGAAGAGACTGAGTCGAGCAGTGCCTCCCTGTTTGTGACACGCACACACACACATACGCACACACACCCTTTGCACTCGTCGTGTGTAACGGACAGAACCTGCATCCGTCTAGCGAGGCGATCCCTCAGGGAGGTGCCCAGACTCTTAGGGATGGCCCGTTACCGGGGAGGGGGATCACTGCTTCTGATTGGTTGGTTGATTGATTTTTGGGTATTTTCTGCCCCTTGCTTGTGAGTGTCTGCTGGATCACTATGCAGAATCAGACTCTCTGGGAGCTACTCACACACCAACTCCACGCATCCTTTGCACACAGCAGTGAGCCTACATGCAAAGACACACGCACACACACACACAAAGCCATGCCACACCTTGTGTAACATGCGTACACGCAGTAATTTGCCAAACGTCTCTGCGGCGCACAGCCAGACTGGCGAACCGGACCGCTGGTGGAGGAATGGACCCCGGGAGGGAAGAGCTGCGAGTTGAAACAGATTCTGTGATTGAACTCTTCATTCTCTATAGCTTTTTGTACAATAATGATTTAAAAAAAAGGAAAAAAGAGAGATCAACCTGGGAAAATTGAATTTTTATTTTATAAAGTCAATCAAGCCGCTGGAGTCAGCTCTACCGGGTAATATAGAATCAACATGGCTTTAAGGCATCTGAGCGTTGATTTGCCAAAACTCATTTTTGTAAATAACAAGAACGACGACCATTCTGTCCGCTGGACGTCTGTGCCATAAAATGGGAAGGCTTCGGTTATGCAAAACTCTTGATGTTAATCCAAGCAATACCAACACACAGTGCCTTGCAGAGGTATTCATACACCTGACTTTTGTTTTTTTCCTTTTGAACATTTTGTCTCCTTACAACTGCAAACTTTATCGTATTTTGTTGCGATTCTATGAGACAGACCAACACGAAGTCATGCATATTTGTGAAGTAGACGGAAAAGATGACAATATTTTTAAGTTTTGCCACCAATTTAAATCTGAAAGGTTGTGCGTTTGTGTCTTATCTCCCATCTACTGGGTCCCCCCAGTATAAAATCTGACGCTACCAGTTGCTTTCACTCACTCAAATGAAAACAAATTCATATAAAAGGTGGTTTCTACTGAATATGCACACAGCTCTCACTCTCATAACCCAAATTAAGAGCGTTTGCCTTCAGAAGACACCTGATTAGGGAATAGAGTCCTGGCAGAGGAGGTGCCACAAAGTACTTGGTCCCCTTTACTCGTTTGCCTAAATAAAATCCAGTCCATTGAATTGAAACTATTTGTGTTCAGCTCCCAATGCTGTTCAACCAGTTTCCTTTCGATGTCGCCTAATTAGTAAAATGGTTCAGCATTGTTATTCCATGCTGAGCTGATTAGGTTTTTAATAGTGAGCACAAAAGCTGAAAACCACATTTACCTTTCCTTCCACATTCATGCATTATTCCGTGTTGACGTATCTCAAAATATCTCCCCTCCCCACCGACTCCCCTCTCTCCTGATATATTTTGAGGTTTGAGGTTGCAATGTGACAAAATGTCAAAACATCCTGTTTTGTGAATTTTTTTGCAAAGCACTGCATGTTTTTTTTTTTTTTGTTGTTTTTTTTCTTTCTCTCCCAGTTTGCTTTGTTTTGTTTCCAGCTTCAGCTCCGCGCTGCGTCGTGTTTTTTTTTTTGTTTTGTTTTGTTTTTTGTTTTTTGTGCAGCTTTTTAAATGAGAGTCACTCAGTGATTTCCAGCGTCACCACTCCGCTATGTCTTCTGAGGTCCGATCACTGCAGATTACGTTTATGTCCAAAGCATATTAGCTTCTACAGTTTGTGTTTGCGCCCAACATCCCCCCAGCGTGGCACAGCCCTGCGCTTTTTCAACCACAAAGCATTCATTATTGTGTTGCAGGCAGCACCGACTGACTGCAGCCATGTCTGCGGGCCTCCATCATCCATTGCCCCCTTTTGGTCAGGTGCCAAGTTCCCACTGTATCGCCCCGCCTCCCCTCTCCCTCGCTACAGCTTCGTTAACTGTGATGCCAGTATATCCCTGTTTTATGGCCAGTGTCCCCACGCCACTCGAAAGCTCTTTTGGACTTGGGATAACAAACTAGACAAACTCTGACACTACTAGAAGGTGAGGAAAGAAGCTGATTAAAAACAAAGGGAACCGTTGCTGTTTGAGTACATAACATTTCTAGACCTATTTTAACTTTACCTCAGCTAACACTTTCTTAATGTAAATTGAAGCATTATTTTTATCTTTATTGAATATAACATTCTACAGTGGGTTTTTTGATTTTTTTTTTTTCTTTTTTTTTTTTTTTTTTTTTTTGGGTTCTATCTTAATTTACGTATTCCACCATGTATTATTACCTGTTACAAATAAACACTCCCCAAATGATTCATATGTCTTTTTATTGCCTCTGACTTTTGGTGTGTTTGAGTAAAGAGAGAGTGAGTCTAATGGGGTGTAGCTGCCAGGGGGGACCCCCCCCCCCCCACCCCTTCCCAGCGTGTCTTTAGTTACTATTAAGCGAGTGCCGCAGCATTAATGTTGTAATTTAACACTGTTTTAATAACCTGTCACAATCTGCTGCACAGGCAACCCCTGATCCAAGCTGTCACCAGTTTTATTACCATCCAAGTACAAAGCAAGGACCTGAGCAAACTTCCCCTTTCCTTCTGGCTTAGGATGCGTTGCAGACTTGCATGCTGATTTATTTATTTATTTATTTTTTATTTTTTCAGGCTGGTTCAGTTCACTCCTACTACTTGACAAAGAACAGATCTAGGTGTTGACTCTGCCCAGGACTTTGATTTTCTTTACTCTCAGCCAGTCCTAGGATGTTTTTTTTATTATTATGTTGTAGGGCCTCTTTTAAAAAAAAATAAATAAAAAAAAAAAAAAAAAAAAAAAAAAAAAAAAAAAAAGATTGTTTGACATTTTACTAAAAACTCACACATGGT